TCGACGTATGGGAAGCTATATGTCGACTGGTTTGCAACGTGAGCCGCAATGACTCACACTGTGACGATACAGGTCGACGTATCGGTTCTGGAAAACTCTCACTTCTTCTTTTTTTTTTTTTTTTTTTCCACTGTCCAATGATAACCCAGATACACAACATTGGTATTTTAACCACCCACGCCACTACACTCACGTGAAATTTTACCCACATTTTAACATCTAACAAAAACACAACAACCATCAATAACATAAATTACCACACGTTTCTTAAATACTTAAACTGATTTTGAGTGAGTAAAACTTAATTACATTTTCTCAATAGCCATGAATACAAGTTTAATTACATTCCTAAAACTATAATTATACATGTAATGGCTAATTACAAAATAGAAAAAAAAGTCATCTTCCAACAATTGTCAAGCTTGCGGTGGATTTTCATCCGCCATTTCCGTGCCATGACCTGAAAAAAATATAATAATATAGTTGGGTGAGCAATTTGCTCAGTAGGTGACGCTTAAGACACGCCTCTTGTGTCCCCGTGAATCCAAACATAGAATAGGTCAATGGGAATGGGGATCATACAATATCAGGGTAATACAACGTTCCAACCAAACTCTAATACAAACAATGCAATGCCATGGAATGCCAATGCATTCCAATGTCGCTCCCCATTTTCTTTTCTCAAAACCATCTCTTTCAAACTGTTAATGTAACCCCCTTTGGTGACTCCGCAGCGCCGAGAGAAGGATTGGCTACTGTCCCTGACCTTTGGTGACTTCGCAGCGTCATTATGGGGCCTAGATAGCTCAACCACGCTAGGGCAATCTCCCTAGTTCCCTCTAGGTTACATTAACCTACCGGCCCGTTGGTGACACTGCAGCGACCGGGTTTTATCAAAACACTTTCATCAATACATTTTTTCCCAAAACTTCCCATTTTCTTTTCAAAATCAATTCTTCCCATTTCTTGCTCAATGTAAATGCATAGATGCATTTATGTCATGCCAATGTTCATCATCTCACAATTAGCTCAAATTTAATTAGCTAACACAATTCATAAAAACATCTAAGGAAGCTACAATATGCTTTTTCACAATAGAAATAGCATAATAGAATTATAAATTCAACACTTAGGCATGTCCTTCATACATAATTTATAGTATATTAGCAACACAATGAACACAAAACTCAACATATAGCATGCTTCTATATACAATCAAGTTAACACATATTCATACAAATTCACATATCCTCAATTAAGTCATTTTAAACTAAAATCAAAGCAACTAAACATGCTAAGGCACAATTCAAGTAGATTAATTCACTAAAGCGCAAGAACTTCGTGGATTGAGAACCCCTACCTCTAGATTGCACAAAACCCTTAAAATGGTCTCCAAGTTCAAACGCACAAGGAGGCACCAAAACTGAAATTGTTGGTACACACACATAGAGCTCGTCGTGCTTTCCGATGTGCCTCAAACGGCACCCAAAATCTCTAAGTAATGAGAGAGGAATCCAAACTTAAAGTTTGGTACAAAAATGAAAAAGAAAAATGAAGAAGAGAAGAGAGGAAGGGAGGGTTACGGGAGAGAGAAAGTGAGAAAGCCAAAAATGGGTTACTAGACCACTTATGTGGTTAGTGGTAGGTCCCACCAATTTTATTTTCTTTTCCCTTTTTCTTTTACTTTCATTTTACACCTCATACACATAAATGCATCACATATAAATACCACTTAACCCACATAAGTTAAAATGCACAAATGCAATTGGGCTCTACTACAATCCCTACACGCAAGTCGTGAAAAGACGAAAATGCCCTTGCGGCGACAGTATCTCCGGAAAATGAAAAATGCCGAAAATCGGAAAGTTTACATCAGTATTTTTCAAATCCATAATAATGGAATTGAAATTATCAATATGCTCCTTAAGAGGCATACCTTCCTTTATACGAAGGGTGCAAAGTCTCTGTTTCAGGTAGGGTCTGTTGGTGAGGGACTTCGTCATATACAGACTTTCCAATTTTAGCTATTATTTTACCGCCGTGTCTTCATCAATAACTTCACGCAACACGTCATTAGTTAGATTCAGAATAATCGCAGTATGTGCCTTTTCATCGACTTCATCTTTATCTTCATCGAACATAGTTGTTGGCAACTTGTCCTTCCTGAACAACACATTATTTAGACTTTCCTGAGTCAATAGGGCCTGCATCTTAATGCGCCAAAGACTGAAACTAATCTTGCCATCAAATTTCTCAATTTCGTATCTGGTCGACATCTCAAAAAACTCCCCAAAATAATTCTCGGTGAATAGTACCGTATTTGTGAACAGTACCCGAATAATATTTGTGAACAGTATTGTACGTGTGAACAGTTCTGTACACAATATTCACGAACCCGAGCTCTGATACCAGTTTGTTATGAAAAAGGATCGAATAGGTGTTTATGAGAACAAGAGAAAAATAAATGACAAGAAGAATAAAATGGCACACACACAAACGAGACAAGATTTACGTGGTTCGGCTGTGCCTACATCCACGGGGAGAAGACAAAACAATATTTCACTATAGAAATATAGAGAAACAAGGCAAAGTGGCTCACCCCCAAAACCCAATTACACCCAAACTCTTACTCTCTAACTGATATTACAAGCTCTGTCTTAATTGGTGATTTTTTGGATGATTAAACCACCATGGGAGCAAGGCTATTTAGCCACAATGGCTACATACATCACTTCTGGACTTGATCACCAAGTGCAACCTTTTTGTGGTCACCAAGTCCAGAAGTGATGTATGTAGACATTGTGGCTATAAATAGCCCTGCCCCTATGGTGGTTTAATCATCCAAAAAATCATCAATTAAGAGTGAGCTTGTAATATCAGTTGGAGAGAGAGAGTTTGGGTGTAATTGGGTTTTGGGGGTGAGTCACTTTGCCTTTTATTTCTATAGTGAAATATTGTTCTGCTCCCCGTGGATGTAGGCACAGCCGAACCACGTAAAACCTTGTCTCGTTTGTGTGTGTGCCATTTTATTCTTCTTGTCATTTATTTTTCTCTTGTTCTTATAAACTCTTATTCGATCCTTTTTCATAACACAAGGCTAGGTACTTTATCAAGAATATACTATATTAAATCAAATTATTGTTCAGCTTATCATGCTGTTTTCTATACCATTTTTTTTTTTCCCTCTTTCATCTTCGGTATCTATATGCACTTCGTCTCACTATATGGCAGACTCTATATATTTTCGACATTGTCCTGAAAGTGCATTGGTTTTCGTATGACACAAGTTTGGGTGTCATTTCTCAAGTGGTTCGTTAACCGGTGTTTATGGCCTAACAGTGATGTGGAGCCATTGTATAAATGCATCTGGATTCTGAGTCCCATGCATCTTCTATCAGTTAGAGAAGTTCTCATGGTTGCTTATGCATACCTTTGAAAACTAGATCATGAACGTTATAAACCTGCAGGCCAGGTCCTACTGGGATTTGGGAATTCTGTAAAACCTATAGGATCTTGCTTATCTCTTTTGTTTCCTTTCTTTATTCTTGCTTCTTGTGAGACCACACATAAGGGATGGAGGTTCTTTTGCATTATCTTTCGTTATATGCGCACATATATTTATATGTATCTGCGTGTATTTTATATAAAGGAGGAGGAGGAGGAGGATATAGGATAACAGAACCTAATCTACATCAATTCATCAATTGATGTGAAGAAATTATATAAAATTTGTAAATAATTATAAAGGTAGAGATTACCCAACTTCTTAGTACCAAATTTCCGCTTAGTTAGTTAGTTAGTTAGCTAGATTAGAGTGTTTTTTTTTTTTTTTTTTTTTTTTTTTTTTTTTTTTTTCGGTCATTGGCAAATGGCAACCACACTCGGGCTCTCCTCTCTCTTCGAGAATGGGAATGTTGTACTATTGGGCTAGATGCCTTTTGGTACATGCCAATACTTCTCGGTTCACTTGTCTACGAGCCACTCAAACTATAGGGAGGCGTGTGAGTGAGAGAACACATGAGCTTCACATACAAACATAGCTACCTATCTAACTTGTGAAATCTGAATTTCTTGTTAATAAGGTGCAGTTCATTTTTACACAATTTATATTTTATATAACAAGATATGTCATAAACAAAACACCAAATCTAAAGTAAAAATTTAACAAAATTAAAAATTTGATACATAATCCGAAGAATGTACTTGTACGTGTTTGTTTTTCTCTTTAATACTTTTTCCCCTTGTCTTCGCCTCATTGAGAGGACTTCTAACTAATGTTCCGAGTCTTCTGAGACTTTTATGGTGGCTAGGACGGAGTTGGGATCCTGTATGGGGTGCTCCATAACATTGGACATGTGAACGATCATACGTACTCACACGTCCGATGTGGAACAGCACCCGGCGCCCGCAGAGTATCTGTGCTCCTTAAGATGACTTGGTCAATCAAACCTTTCAATTTCATAGAGGTGTACTAGTCTCCGTGATATAGACATCACTGGCTCTAAAGAAATACTCCTACAAGACTAGTCTAATTAAAAGAAACAAGAAGGAAGATATCACCATAGGAAGTGTAAATAAAGGAAGACCCGTGCCCAAGTCTACACGCCTAAATTCAAGAATACTGCCAATTCAGTGAACAAAATGTATATCAGTAAAAGAGAAAAAATAGTAATGCCCTGAGTTCACACAACTTTCTAAGTACCCCCAATGACAATGATAACAGTTTTACATGACAAGCAGCAAAATTTATTTCTTTGGCTGCTAAAATTTGAAGCACTTTAGTAACATCTGAAGTTCCTAATAATTAAAAGAGTTCAATCATCAATGTAGCTTGTTTCTTTCCTTCCACTGGTAATTAGTGGACCAAACAAGTGGACTTCCAAGTCTATGGTGATGTGAATGATACCCAAAGTAATATGGGACCTCTAGAATAACAGAAACATAATTAAATAGGAGTTTTGAATCATCATCAATGGCTATTCAACAAACATAAATCAACCATGGCATCAGTAACCTTACAGATGATCCTCTCATTTGTTTCCGTAGTCCTGTTTGTTATGTTGTCGTCTTCACCCTATGTTGTTTCTGCTTCTGCTGAAGAAGCCAAGGCTCTCCTGAATTGGAAAGCCAGCCTTCAACTCCATAACAATTCCATGCTAACTTCATGGTCTCTTCCCTCTAACAATGGTACCTATTCTTCTAGCCACCGAATGACAAGTACCGGACCATGCACTTGGTTTGGAATTTCTTGCAATATTGATGGAAGCGTCATGAGATTGAACCTCACAAATTCTAGTGTAAAAGGTACGCTTTATGCTTTCCCATTCTCGTCTCTCCCCAATCTTGCATATATTGATCTCAGTATGAATGAACTTTTCGGTACCATCCCACCTCAAATTGGTAAACTCTCCAAGCTCATCTATCTTGATTTGTCCATCAATCAGTTTTCGGGAGCAATCCCACGAAAAGTTGGCCTGCTGAGGTATATTGAGGTTCTCCACATATTTCAAAATATGTTAAATGGCTCAATTCCTCAAGAAATAGGCCAGCTAAAGTCTCTTTATGAGCTTGCTTTGTGTTCGAACAATCTTGATGGCTCCATTCCTGCTTCTTTGGGCGGTTTGAGCAACTTGGCTATTTTATATCTCTATGGTAATGAACTTTCTGGTTCCATTCCCTCACAAATGGGACATATCCACCAACCTTCTAATGGGTCCCATCCCTTCAACTTTCAAGAATTTGAGAAAGCTAAAAGTGCTGTATCTGTTCAACAATCTACTATCTGGTCCCATCCCCCCAGAGATAGGAAACTTGAAATTGCTTGAATTTCTATTCCTTGATAGAAACAATCTTTCTGGCCCAATTCCTGCAGCATTAGGTGATCTAAGCTCCCTCACTCAGCTATCTCTCTATGGGAATCAACTCTCTGCTTGTATTCCTAAAGAATTAATGAACTTAAAGCTTCTCAGTGGTTTAAATTTAAGCGAGAATCAACTCAATGGTTCCATTCCTGCTTCATTTGCTAATTTGAGAAACTTGGAATTTTTATTCCTCGGTGAAAACCAACTTTCTGGTCCTATTCCACAAGAACTTGGGAATTTGACAAACTTGGTCATATTGCGAATGGATGAAAATCAGTTATCTGGCTATTTGCCATGGTGGAAGACTTGAAAGTTTCAGTGTAAACAACAACCGGCTTGTCGGTCCCATCTCCAAGAACTTGAGAAACTGTTCTACCTTGACCAGAGTCCGCCTAGGCGGGAATCAGCTTGCTGGAAATATTGCTGAAGATTTTGGTGTCTATCCAAATCTGCAATTCATGGATCTAAGTAACAATTGTTTATTTGGTGAAACCTCAAACACATGGGGACAGTACCCACAATTGACTTCCCTCAAGATGGCAAGAAATATCATCACTGGAATCATACCATCAGAGATTGGAAATTTAACCACCCAACTCCGAGTACTTGATCTTTCTTCCAATCAACTCAATGGTTCCATTCCTGCTTCATTTGCTAATTTGATAAACTTGAAAATTTTATACCTCCATGACAACCACCTTTCTGGTCCTATTCCAAAAGAAATTGGGAATTTGAAGTTATTGAGTCTGATTTTAAATGATAATCAACTTTCTGGTGATATACCTCTAGAACTCGGATTGGCAACTGAGCTGTTGTATCTTGACCTGTCAAGAAACAGATTAAGTGGGTCAATACCGAGAAATCTGGGAAACTGCACGCAGCTTAATTACTTGAACTTGGGCAACAACAGTTTTACTCAGGAAATTCCGCTTGAGATCAGTAAGATGGTTGGCCTGTCCAGGATGGATTTGAGTCACAATATGCTTACAGGGAAGATACCGTTACAATTCAAATTTTTGGTGAGTTTGGAGAGGCTGGATCTCTCCCACAACAATTTTACTGAGGAAATTCCGCTTGAGATCAGTAAGATGGTTCGACTGTCCAGGATGGATTTGAGTCATAATTCGCTTACAGGGAAGGTACCATTACAATTCAAAGATTTGATGAGTTTGGAGAAGCTGGATCTCTCCCATAATAAACTATCTGGTCTCATACCAGAAGCTCTTGAACAAATCACTAATTTGTTGTATGTTGACATATCCTACAATGAGCTGCAAGGTCCCATTCCTAACAGCAAAGTCTTTAGAGATGCTCCCATAGAGGCATTACAAGGGAACAAAGGGTTGTGTGGCAATGTTAATGGATTGCAACCTTGCAAAAGGCGTTCAACTGCGCACAAACATATTCCAAAAAGAAACCACAAATTCATTCTTATAGTTGTATGTCTCCTTGTTGGACCATTTTTACTTCTTGGTGCATTCTTCGGACTTTTCCTAATATACGAAAGAAGGAAAGGAAATGCACAAGTCGAAGAACAATGCGATATGCAAGATATTGATGCTTTTTCAGTTTTGACTTATGATGGGAGAACAACATATGACGAAATCTTAACAGCCACCAATCATTTTGATGCCTCATATTGCATTGGAAAAGGTGGACATGGAACTGTCTACAAAGCAGAGCTGACATCAGCTAATGTAGTAGCTGTGAAGAAACTTCACCGGTCATCTGAGATGGGAGATGCTAAAGGTTTTAGAAATGAGATAAGGGCTTTGACAGAAATAAGACACCAGAACATTGTAAAACTTTATGGTTTCTGTTCACATGCTTGACACAATTTTTTAGTTTACGAGTATCTTGAAAGGGGTAGCTAGGCCACAATCTTGAGCAGAGATGAAGAGGCTCAAGAACTGGATTGGCGTAAGAGGGTGAATATAATCAAGGGTGTGGCTCATGCATTGTGTTACATGCACCATGATTGCTCACCACCAGTTGTTCACAGAGACATATCAAGCAACAACATTTTGCTGGATTCAGATTATGAGGCTCATGTTTCAGACTTCGGCACTGCTAAACTTCTGAAGTCAGACTCGTCGAATTGGAGTTCACTTGCAGGAACATACGGATATATTGCACCACGTAAAAAATAGTTTATTGTTACCCCAATTTTAATTTGATATAGAATCCACAGAACTTACACACGTTATATAATTTTCTTTTTCTCTGCAGAACTTGCTTACACAATGAAGGTAACTGAAAAGTGTGATGTGTATAGCTTTGGAGTGTTGATACTCGAAGTGATCAAAGGGAAGCATCCCGGTGAATTCGTCACCTCATTATCATCTTCATCCGCCGAGAACATCATGCTGAATGATGTGTTGGATCAACGCCTTTCAGCTCCCTCGGCCGAAGTTGAAGAGTTGGTGAAATTTATCCTAAAGCTGGCCATTGCATGTTTACATGTCAATCCACAATTTAGGCCGACCATGCTCACTCTCTCTCAGATTTTATCAACCCAAAGAATTCCTTCTTAGTCACACGCAGTATTTAAGGCTAGGTACTTTCTCAAGAATATACTAACATAAAATCAAATTCTTGTTATCTTGCTGTTTTCTGTTCCTTTTTTTTCCTCAAGAATACAATGATACGGTGTCAGCATTTGGAATCCTACAAAACATTGTTGCTTAATATGTGAGGTTGTAGTTTAGTGGTATTACCTCACCTTCTAAAATAGGAGGTCGGTTCAAGTTCCCGTAGGGACAAAAATGAGTGCATGAGTTTTGTGTCAAGATAAGGAACAATCGATTGTAAGCCATCATGGTGCATTTAAGACCGAGCATGATCCACACCCTTAATTATATTCAACCCACTTAGTCTAGTCCAATATTTTAGCGTCTTCATCTCTACCAAGATCGTGTTGTGGCCACACCATATTGGCTGGTGGCAACTTTGTTTTGTAAATAGTTCCATTCTGTTGACACCCATTTTGGTAATTGGGTTTGGGCTTCAATTGGACTTGATGATCAATGATATAGTAATATGGGCCAAGAACATAAAGCCTGGTCAGTGATGATGTGTTAGGAATTTGGGTCGAGAAGGATATCTGGGTCATGGAAGGTGATTGGATTGAAGGTGGTTTGGAATAGCATTTTAGTTGGAATAAAATCCATTAGTGCCATACATGAATAGTGACGTGGCAGTTCTCATACAAAATAACGCTATGTGCAAGGATGCTACATGGATAGAATGTTTTTGAGCTTTATGTTAGATAAGATTTATGTGTTTACTTGATTTTTGAATTAGTATTTATCTAGGAATGTTTAGTTTGAATTTATTTTTAGTTGGGTTATTGATAAGATTAGATTTTATTTGGAATTAGTATTTAGTTAGGATTATTTTAATTTGAATAATTATGTGGTTGTATTAGAATATAACTAGGATGCTTGTAATTAGGAATTTGTTTTACCATTTATTCTATAAATAAACAGAGAGGCACGCTGTACAAGTGGTCCAGCACCCTCAGAATCCTTATTATTATTTTGTTTGCTTTCTCAAGTACTTTCCTCAAATAGCATCCTTGCTATCTTTATCTCTCTCTATTTCAGTCTTTTTCTATTTCTCTCCACATATCTCTTTCTCCCTATCTCTTCTCCCTATCACTTTCTATGTCTATTTCTTTCCTTTTCTATTCTCTTGTTACGTTACTATAAATTGTTTACGGAAAGTCCTTTTAACTAAGGCATTTTTGAACCCAAAAGAGGAATTTATTTGTTCCCTTTTTCCTTGCATCGTCTGAGAGTCAACTTTCTCAAAAGGACTAAAGTTGACAATTCACAATTGAACCACCCAAGTGGTTCTGGCACGCCCGTTTCACATCAATTTAAGATCGGATCTTAGGAGCCGATTTTAGGGTCAACATTTTTGGCATGCCCGGTGGGACCCCATCAGGTGAGCAAGCTATAGTAAAGATGCCTCCAAAGCTAAGAGGTTCGAAAGGCATGAACACGGGAGATAATACTGATGAAGAAAATCCACAGATTGGCGCAGGCGATGATGCCGACTCATCTATTCCATCTGACGTTCCTTTGAGTCGGGTACTGGAATCAATCATGCAAAGAATCGATGCCTAGCAAGCACAGATCGGTGAGGTAAGGTCCCAAATGGGAGAATCAAATCAGTTTTTGGTCGCTCAAATGAGGTCGATGACAGGGGAGATAAACTAAATGGTGCACACTCAGTTTGAGAAGATGAGTCAGAAACTTGAAAATAATGTACTGGCGAATCAAAGCCGACAAGATTAGGCTGAAGTGTCTCACGTCAATGGGTCCATTTTTCAGCGTTTGACGGCACCATCGGTTCATATATCCTAAGGACCTCGAACAAGCACCATATTGCCAAGTGCAGGACTTGGTATTACAATCGGTAATGTGCCGAATCATACACTCGGCATGCCGATTGGGAATCCACCAATCTTATCAGATCCGCCGGCAGTAACTACTGTGCCGGTATATCATCCACCAGTGAATAATCAACATAATCAAAATGTGCAGCATCTACATGTGCAGCCGATTCCACCAGTGAGAGATCAACAAGAGGTGGTGGGAAACCAAAACCAAGGTAGGGCTAATCCATTGGTACCACTGGCGGCTGCCGGGGGGCAAGACAATGTAAATCAACAATGAGAACGGGTCAACCCATTTGTTCCACTTCACCCAAATGATCCTCCAGGAAAAAATGCAAGGATTGATAGGGCTCCAAATCTGGCTTTAATACAGGCCGAAGTAGCACAGGGTCGCAGACATACTCGGCCAGTATATAGAAAGCCTTATCCTGATCATGTCAATGCTTATGAGTTGCCTAGAAATTATTGGTATCTCGATTTTTCTATGTATAGTAAAAGGGTAAAGTTTAAATCATTTGCGGAGGGTGATATGATTTGGCAAACAATTCTTCCACCTGGAAAGGTAGATAGAATGTATGGCAAATGGTCACCTACATGGAAAGGGCTATAAATAGTCCACCAAGTGTTGCATGGAGGAGCTTACACGTGGAAGGATTTGGATGGTGAGGTGCATGAAAGACTAATAAATGGAAGGTATTTGAAGAAGTATTAACCCATTATTTTTGAACTTTTGGAGGAAAATAAAGCCTCTAATAAGTCAAATATAGAGGGTGGGTGTTCAGCTTAAGCCATTTATGAACCTGGAATAATGATGACAGTGGGTGGTTCTATGGTGTGTATATCAACTTGATACAATGGGTGTAATTTAAATTTTGGAAGCCGAAGGGTTACAATGGCTACCAAAATTGGGGGGCATTGTTGACACCCATTTTGGTAATTGGGTTTGGGCTTCAATTGGACTTGATGATCAATGATATAGTAATATGGGCCAAGAACATAAAGCCTGGTCAGTGATGATGTGCTAGGAATTTGGGTCGAGAAGGATATCTGGGTCATGGAAGGTGATTGGATTGAAGGTGGTTTGGAATAGCATTTTAGTTGGAATAAAATCCATTAGTGCCATACATGAACAGTGACGTGGCAGTTCTCATACAAAATAATGCTATATGTAAGGATGCTACATGGATAGAATGTTTTTGAGCTTTATGTTGGATAAGATTTATGTGTTTACTTGATTTTTGAATTAGTATTTATCTAGGAATGTTTAGTTTGAATTTATTTTTAGTTGGGTTATTAATAAGATTAGATTTTATTTGGAATTAGTATTTAGTTAGGATTAGTTTAATTTGAATAATTATGTGGTTGTATTAGAATATAACTAGGATGCTTGTATTTAGGAATTTGTTTTACCATTTATTCTATAAATAAACAGAGAGGAACGCTGTACAAGTGGTCCAGCACCCTCAGAATCCTTATTATTATTTTGTTTGCTTTCTCAAGCACTTTCCTCAAATAGCATCCTTGCAATCTTTATCTCTCTATTTCAGTCTTTTTCTATTTCTTTCCCCATATTTCTTTCTCCCTATCTCTTCTCCCTATCACTTTCTATATCTATTTATTTCCTTTTCTATTCTCTTGTTACGTTACTATAAATTGTTTACGGAAAGTCCTTTTAACTAAGGCATTTTTGAACCCAAAAGAGGAATTTATTTGTTCCCTTTTTCCTCGCATCGTCTGAGAGTCAACTTTCTCAAAGGGACTAAAGTTGACAATTCACAATTGAACCACCCAAGTGGTTCTGGCACGCCCGTTTCATATCAATTTAAGATCGGATCTTAGGAGCCTATTTTAGGGTCAACACATTCATATCCTCCTTGTCCAACATAACACGAGGCATCGAAATCCTTTGTGGCACACTTTTATGATTTCATTATACATTCTTCTTCTACCAAACTTGAAATTGAAAAAAAAAAAATTTATCCTCGACATTGCATTTGTACATTTTTTGGTTTTTCTTTTTCTCGTTTCAAACATGATGAGGAGTTCGCTGAATGTACCAAAAAGTAAAAGTGGCTACAGGGAAATGTAATACGATTATCAGATCTAGAATGAGTTTGTGACTGTGATAATTCTAATTTTCAGCATTTTAGAATTTTCTGAAAATTCGTTAATGCAAGGGCGTTTTCGTCTTTTCACTTTACCATCCGGGTTTGTGGTTGGGTCCAGTTACATTTCCTACATTTTAATTTATGTGGTGATGCAGTATTTGTATGGTGTAATTGTGTGTGTGTGGTGTGTGATTTAAATGAAAAAGAAAAAGAGAAAAGAAATATAAAATAAAGTGGGACCCACATCACTTTTTAAGTGATTTGTGAGACCAAAATTGGTCTCTGCTGCTCTCTCTCTCTCTCGACTGCTCTCGGCTTCTCCTTTTTTTTCTTTTTTCTTTTCTTTTCACTTCAACTTCCATTGTTGATTGCTCCTTCATCTTTTGTCGGATTGAGGTGCCGTTTGAGGCGAAACGAAGCTTGTAGCGAGCTCTACGCATCCATACTATCAATTTCCAGATTTGAGTCTTCCTTGGAACTTGAATTTGGAGGACCTATTCTAGGGATTTCGGCTTGGATTGTGAGGTAGGGACATCTTAAGCATGGAATCTTGCTCTATAATGAATCATGCTCCTCTATGTGTGTTATAGCATGTTTAATTGTTGTTGATTTTGATTAAAATGATTTAATTGACAACATGCTAGTTATGTAAATGTGTATAACATGGTTGAATGAAAAGTATGTCTATGTGATGGTTGTTTACATTTTTTTTGA